TGTTAATAACAGTATGCCAAACAACGTATTAGAATACGCCATGTCATGCCGTACTAACATACATTTAAATGAAGTTCATTATTGCACTCTTCCAGTTCAGATATACAGGAGCGGACAAGATGGGGTAGCTGGAACAGGTTACAGAAAATAAAAATGCATTTTACGTTTTTACAGGATATAAACTTGAAAGTTCCATTTACAGTAAAAAAAATGTTTTTTTTATTTTAAAGCTAAAGCAAATTCCTAATTACATTTTACATTTTTATAATGTACTTGATAATTAGTGTTTAGGAAACACAATTGAACATTGCGTATGAATTACGACATTTAATGTGGAAAATGCTTTATACGCTTACAAAAAATAAGATCTTTGTATAAATTACGGACGAATAAAATAGCTGATCAAGTTTTACGCCTTGCCTCTGTCTACGAATTTACGTTTTTTATTTATTTATATTATATTATTACAAAAATAAAAACAATTGATTATAGCTTACAAAAATACCCCTTGCCAACCCTCCATACAGTACATAATAGACTAAAGAGTCTAATATCGAATAACCTTAAATGAATTACAATATATGATAATATACTGTAAAATGACTAAGTTTCACTGGGTTTAAATTTCACTGATTTACCATTTCAGGCATATTCAGTGGGTTTTAAATTCACGGTTTCGTCATTTAGATAATGTGTTCTATTCTAAATTTTACATATTCACTGTGTTTTAATTTAGCGCATTTTTCCAGTCAGCGAAATAAGCTAAATTAAAACCCAGTGAATAATTACCCCCTTTACAGTATAATAATATAATAACATGTTTATAAAATAGTATAATTACCCTGACGAAATAATATTACAATCATCATCGTTATATAGTAAATTACAGAATACAGTACAAACCAACTTAAACAATTATTCAGCAGTTTGACCTTGACAGTCCGTGCACTAACTAACCTTAGTTCGAACTCACACCATCCACCGGGAAATAACATGAGCTTTGACAAAAACGTTGATTAATATGTGCGTTACCAAAGGCTTATTGTGTGAATAAAATATCACCCGAGCTTGACATTAACTGTAAAATTAATCAACTTTAAATTCAGGTGTCAGTCAAACAGATGCTGCATCATTGTACATCTCCACATAGAAGGTGGTATATGAACAAGTTGAACGACAAGTATATTCACGTCGATTGTTAGTCATCAAAAAATAATATTATTAAAAAAAACATAGCTGGCGGATTGTATTGGTAGTTAAAGGGCGGTGGTCGTCGCGCTGCGTGTGTTCGCATTTCATGTAGACAAACAAAGCATTTTACACGTTGTCCTTCAATACATTGTGCCAAATTTTGTTTAATATCTCCAAATCTTTGAAGCACATGAACACTTGTAAAGATGAGCATAATTTATTCCAAGGTGACAGTGACCTGACGTCTGCACATTCATGTGTGCTACTGAAACTTATTCGGGATTCGGCTACATTCGACAACCTTCGGTATTTGAATGTTACAGCACATATGTCATAATTGTACGCCATATCCTATATAACTAACCCACTTAGAACGCAACGTTGTAAATACTATGTCAGGCGTGTGTAAATTTCCCCACGAACCGTTAGATATATTTTTTCTACATGTCAATGTTTCAGTGACTCATGTCTGGAACTGACTGCCCGTAGTATAGGTCCCGTACATCACACAACATTTTCGGTAAATTTAAGGCGGTGGTCGTCGCGCTGCGTCGAGTTCGATGTTAGACCCGTAGCAACGTTTGAATACGTGCTCCGCGCCGACCATCGCCATTTACCAGTAAATTAAAAAAGTCTAAATAGAGTGCACAAACAATGACATTCACGTCATTGACATCTTGATTAATATACGTTCATCGGACAAAGTAGGCAATTCACATCGAACATCGAACGGTCGCGATATTAATATTCACTTTAAATTCACAATTTCCGTTTTCTAATCCCTCACTGGAATTTTTGTAACGAGAACTTACGGAGGAAATAATCTCATTCTTGAGGTCAAGATGAAAGTTCAAATAAATCTAGAGTGGGCGTCTCTGTTACGGATACATATCTTATTTTTACGGCATGATAAAACACATTCCATCATTCTCAGTATTAAACACTGAGAATTGATAGCACTGGCGAATATTTAAAAGTAAGACAGTGTCAGCGGCAATCATGACTGAAAATGCTAAATTTAAAAATTATATCTAAAATGATACGTCCTTCGGGTAATTTACGCTAAAATGAAAAGAAACCTCTACATGCGTATATCAAATATATGAAACATATCAGACAAGGATAATTTAGTGATCAGCCAAGCTTCTTGTAAAGTGTATATGTGTTTTATGGCACTAATTGAACCATGTACAATAAAAACGTCACGCTCCAGGGACTAGTATTGAATTGACTAGTCCCAAGAAAGTTGAAAGATAAAAACATTAGAAGCAGCCTACTTAAATAACAATATTCCGCTTTTAAAGAGATATATGACTTTGACATTATCCACGGCATAATCAGTTTACTATATATCAATGACGTTGAAACATACAAGTACGTCTGTGAACAATCCTGATATGTGCATTCATTTATAACTGAACTTTTAACCTTTTGAGTCAAAGTCAAATGTTGTCACAAAATAAAACCACAATTTTTATATTTTTTTTTTCATATTTGTTTTTTGAAATGTTGACCAAAACTTGTAACCAAAGAGAAATGGTGTTTATTTGTTTCAAAATATTAAAAAAAACAATTCCAAAAATAGGTGTTATAAGTAACTAAAATTTTGAAACAAATGTTAGCGAAAAATTACAGGACACAGTAGACTATTAAAATCAAGTACAGGGTAGACACAGCACAGTATCACACCAATGTTAAGCTGAAAAAAGGGAAATTGAGAATGTGTTATAAATTTGTCTCGCAGATAACCACGCGTTATAATGTTTCTCCGATCTATACTTGGCGTCAGCGTCGGATATTACGGAACATACGTTTAATGACTGTACTACAAAAAATACACATACATGAATTTATACGTACAGTCACGAAACAGTCGTAAATGTACACAATGTACAATCAAGGTCACGACAAATATAAATGTATATTATTCGAAATATATATTCTCAATAAAATATTGCATCTAAAACAGCGAAGGTCAATATTATTTGCATTATCAACTGTCGATGTGTTTATCGCAATGTTATTGAAGGCCATACATCGGAAGACATTATCTCAAATGATAGGATCACATGTTCATGCACTCTAGAGGGCGATATTGGTAAAAACAACTGTACGTATATTGATCGAATCGGTGTTAATGTCTGAGGTAGCGGGTAATACCATGGTGATTCCATGATCCTATAGATAAGAAAAATTTAAAAGGTTCTATATTTTTTAAGTTTCGCCCCCCAAATCAAGCTGAAAACTTTTGTATTAGCAAAATTTGAGCCTCAAAATAAAGGAAATAGCGTTTCACAGGGTCTATATTTCAACATTTTAAGGGGAGCGTGTCCGCGGACCCCCTAGCAAGGTAGTGCCTACGGCGCAAGGTTTGTGAGCAGATCTCGCCCACCCATGCAATTTCGTGCCGTCGTGGGCTATGAACATCCCGAGTCGTAATATAAAACAACAATTGCTAATATCGACTCGAAATACCTATTACGCTTGTAAATACTTATTCTATCTCTTAAAAGATCAATGTGAACAGCGCCATCATGTGGTTTCACTGCCTCTATCAATTCTAAGCATTCGAATATTTCTCACTCGTTCAGCAATAACGAATACTGACTAGTCAAGAGTTGATCTGTCCATGCTTAGGAAGCAAAACGATGATAGACCATTTAAATCAGATATTTCCGGCGTGAGAGCTGAATCGTATTTTATGGAAGTCAAACGAAGCGTAACAAAATATTGTTTCCTAATAAAAAAGAGATATTGCCTGACAAAACTGAATGACGCTTTTTTCTCGGAAAAGGTGTGTGTTATGTAACTGCAACTGTCTATTCACAATTTAAATTGAGGACTTGGATAACACATATCTGACGCCAAGTCGGATATATCTGTCGCGATAAAATTCTACCCCTGCTTATTCAAAAGCGGAAATTAAAACCAGTTTATCAGAAAATGTGAATTTGTTCAATTATGTATGAATAAAAGATATTTAGATAAAGTTACATCAAAGTGTTCATTATAGGATTTACCAACGACACTGAATTCAAGGAATCAATTTAATAAGCAGTATATATGTGAAACACTGGCACACGTTCAGCACAGATGCCATTTTTTGCAAATCGAGAATGAAATAATAACATTTAATATTAGATCTCATCACGTGATTGAATATTCTCCTTCATAGTATATGTATATAATGCTTTATGTTAGGAGCCCGTCATTGTGGCAGTGTTGTATTTTATTTTAAATTTCCATTACTATATTAAAACAATGATTTATTGCGGCAGTATTTTGAATAAATGACACTGTGTACGCAATGTTTAATAACAGGGTAACAACATGACTTATTTAATACGCCAGCGACTAAACGTGGTTCCTGTGATATACTTTGGCCCGGGGGCAAAATCACGATGCCTTGTTAACGATTCAACACCACGTTATATACGGAGTAGCAAGCCCATCAATGTTAACGATTTTGTCACGTGTCAATATGATACAATCAAATCTTTCTTATCAAGATTTTTTTTGTTATTTTAGTATCATGATTTATATACACAGTAGTAACGAGTCAGTTTATTATCATTCGCAATAGCAATCAATTCTTACTTGTAGGAATAAGTTAATTATTATTAATTATACACCGAGAAACCAGATTGTACGCTCAATAGTAATTAAGACGCGAAGCAACGACGTATCCATTGTCACGTGCGTTATAAACTATTCCTGTCATATTGGTCGAACTGGTGCTTATCTCCCTGCTTCCATGATTACTGTATGATACAATAATTGCGCACAAGGTATTGTATATTTATTTTTATTTATTTACGCCTATCGCCCCTCCTGGGACATAGGCCGTCAACCAGGTTCCTCCAGGCAGAGCGGTCCTGAGCCAGCGTCTCCAGTTCTTTCCATGTGCGGCCCATCTTCTTAACATCTGCCTCCATGACTCTGCGCCATGAGTTACGAGGCCTTCCCCTCTTCCTTTTTCCACGAGGATTCCAAGTCAATGCCTGTCTAGTAATATTAGGCATTCGTTTCCGTAGGGTGTGGCCAATCCACCACCATCGTTTCTGCAAGAGCTCTGCCTCAATGGGTTGCTGATGAGCAATCTCCCACAAGTCTTGGTTACTAATTACCTCAGGTCAGGAAATTCTGAGGATACGCCTAAGACAAGTATTGATGAAGGTCTGTATTTTCCTAATAAT